CAACGTCCTCCACAACTAGACTGAAGAACAAAAGGACAGCAACTTGTCTGTTCCCCTTCCCCCAATTCCCCAATAAAAATCTTTTTTTTTTAAATCATACTGTAAAACTACTGGGATAGATCAATATGGGTTGGTATATGGAATGGTAGACAAGCTAGGGGCAGCAAGTAGTGAATGCAGAGGTAGAGCTCAGAAAATTTTATATGGCCAAAGTTGGCATTTCAATTCAATGGGAATAAATTATGAAATTTTTAAAAATGAAGCTGGCACAACTGGAAAACTAAAATTGAACTCCTAATTTACACTACACAAAAATAAGCTGGATGAGGGCCAGCCAAGTGGTGCGTTGGTTAGGAGTTGGCTTGGGGTGCCAGCTCTGAGCAGCAGGGCCCCGGGGGTTCGGATCCCACCTGAGGGCCAGTGACGCTGCACCCTCTACAGCTAAGATGGTGAACAACAGCTCAACCTGGAGCTGGGCTCCTGTGAGTTGCTGGCAACAGTGAAGGCTGCAGCCCCTGCTGCAGTGGGCTGCCGTGGGCTACCGTGAGTGGCTGGCAGCCGCATGAGCCACCATGAGAGGCTGTCCAATGGCCAGCGAGCGACTGCCTCGCCCGAGAAGAGCGCAATGATAATACCAACATGGGCCAGTGAAGCGACGTCCTCCACAACTAGAACAAAAGGACAGCAATTTGTCTGTTCCCCCTTCCCTGATTCCCCAACGCTGTTCCCGTCCTCCAATTCCCCAATAAAATCTTTAAAAATAAAATAAGCTGGATGAATTAAAGTAAATGTAAAAGAAAATCTAAAAAATAGTGTACTCTAGTGACTGGAAATGCAGAAACTACAAAGGAACAACTCAGTATATTTGACTGCAAACCCAACACTTTTTTTTTTAAGCTGAGCCATCCTGCCACCAGTTGGCAGCTCAGTGGCAGCTCAGCTCGGGCCAAACTCAAATCGCTGTTGCTCACAGCTCACACCCTTGAGCGAGCTCCTAACCAACTGAGCCACTCGGCCGGCCCTAACCCAACACTTTTTAACAGTAAAAGAAACTACCGCAAACTTAAGAGGCAAACAGTCGTTTGGGAATTTTACAATGCAGGAAACAGTTTACAGCTGTCAAGGAGCTTTAACAAATTACCTGAACAACCCAATAGAAGAAATACACAGCCATTTGAAAACAATGAATTAGAGTTCTACCAGGTGAAGTAGTGACACAAATTTATTGAGTGAAAAAAGTGAGATGCACAAAAGTGTATATAATTCTCAATTTTGGTATAGCAATGACCAAAACCCAGTGAATTATGTGTGTGTGCTAAGCACTCATGATTAAAATTGTGTAAATATGTATGCATATGTAATAAAGCTATTTTTCAAGGCAAACACTAAGACCAGCTTATCGCAAACAAAAGAAGCCCCAAGAAAATAAAAATTAGCTATAAACTCATCCCATATACCACAATAAACGTTGTATAGACCCATCCATCCCTTTTTCTATGCTTGTGAACTTTTTACACGAAATTAAGCTCAATATGGTTGATATCTTGGGATCTATGTCTCTTCTAGTCATTTAAGTCTCTAAGAAATCTTCCCTTCGAAACCCCAAACAGAAAGTGTTTGACCACTGAATTTCGTCCTCACCAGCTTCCCTTCCTTAGGCACATTTAGGTCTACCTGGTATGGTAATTTCTCACATGGTCCTCACTTCTCCCATTAAATTGGGGAACTCCTTGAAGGCAAGAACTCTGCCTCTTTCATAAAAGTGTCCTCAGTGCCTAGAATGTACATAGTAGGCACTTTATAAGTATTGCTGTACAAAGGAATGTAGATTTCCTGTCTTGTATTGCAAGATCAAGATAGTATAGGTGAAGGAGTAATCTAAGGTAGATGCTGAGACACTGAACAACAGAGTTCAAAGCTGGGGAGCAGCTCCCCAAAGCCTGGGTAACCCCAGATCACCTAAATCTACCCTCCACCCCCTTTCCAGGGATGTTCAGAAAGGAACCACCCGCACACAGGGCTCTGTGTATGATATATATTTATATATATAATTACTCTCATTTTATTGTACTTTATCCTCTTTTTTACAGTAGATCTGACACAGGCATTAAATAACTGCAGCGAGACCACTGGGTTGAGGGGAGTGCAGGAAAATATGGGGACCCAAAGGGAAGAAACGCAGATCCAGAAAGAAAAGGGAAGGGTCCATCTGTGGGTGAGGTGTGGCAGCAGCAGCATCAAAAATGAAAAGGGAGATTAGAAAGGTGAGGAAATGAAGGGCACTGGAAGAGAAAGAGTTAAAATGCCTCTAATTCAAGAATACAGGCGAGGCAGTCCCTCTTACAATTCTATGGGCACTAGGGGGTTGTTTAAAAATGCAAAGGGGTCTGAAGGAGACAGAGCCAGGAAATTCAGAGCCTAGATTGAGGGGGTATTTGCAACTTTCAGGCTGACATGCGGAGGAAAGGTAAGGAGTTAGTAACTAGTTGATAAATTGCTAAGAGAAGCCAGTGAGAGGATGGTGGGGGCAGATCTGGGCCCCGGGAAGGAGGTGGAATAGTCCCACAGACCGCTGATGTTTCCAAGGTGGCCACTGGGGACAGATCCAAAATGGCTGCCCCTCCCCCAGGGCTCCTGGGAAGAGGAACTTGAAGGATATTCTGGGAAAGTGGACAGGGGGAAGGGAGTCATAGGCAAAAACAAAGTGGATATTCAGCCTAGGTCAACCCTGCCTCTCAGGAGTGCCTATATGGGTGATAGGACAGACCAGGAAGAGAATTTTCAAGAAGAACCAACACAGACTTCTCTTTCAGACCTTTACTCCCAGCTCACTCAGCCACCATAGGATGAGAAGCAGAATGTGCCAAGAAAAAGGAAAAAGGCCACAGAGCCACCTGTCCTGAGGAGAGAATGGGGATGCAGAGGAAGGAGGTGGGGAAAGACCTCCCAGAGGAGCCAGAAAAGTCAAAAGCCACCAAGACAGTGATTGTGTATATGAAGGAGAAAGTGTGGGAGATAGAAAAAGGTGACAGTGGCTGTGCTTAGAAATGGAAGCATGGAGTGCCACACTCCTGTCTGGAAGCTAAGTGGTAAAATGAGAGGGGAGGGAGGGAGGAGAGGAGAGGAGGTGGGTGGGCATTTCTATAGCTCTTGGGATAGGAGGGTAGCTGTGGGGACACCCCACTCACAGCTAAACCAGAACCAGAATGGTCCCTTTGTGACCCTGTTGGGGTCCCATCTCCCTGTCTGACTGAGCTAGGGTCAGGAGAAGGTGGGACATATGTGAAGGCGGGGAATCACAATGGACATCAGGCTGGGTTCAGAAGTTAGGGAAAAGGGCATGACAGGTTCAGAAAGTCATAGCTCTGTTATAAAAAATACCTTTCGGGTGGATGAGGGAGGGATCAGGCAGGGTCAGGGACATTCCAGAAGCATCCATAGGAAAGAGGTGGGGGCGGCAGGAAGGGGCCTCAGGTTTTGTTGATGCGGAGTTTAAAGGCCACACGGCCAGCGAACTTGTCTCTCTCATCGTCTATGGCGATGTTGGCAGCATTGATGCGGCATTCCACGTTCACCTCCACATTGGGGGTCACATTCAGGAACTTCACAGCCACCAGGGGCTGTGTGTAGTTCACCTGGGCCAGAGGAGGAGAGTGAGGGTCCAGGCCCATGGCAACTTGGCCTCCTTCCCAAGGACCCCCTTCCCTGGAGGAGCCATCATCCTGGGACCTCCCAAAGGACTTACATGGAACTTTTTGCCGTAGTAGGGGAAGTACATGAGGTCGATGTTGCCATTGGCAGGGAACATAACAAAACTGCCCAGATTCTCAGCATCTTCATCTCGCTGTGAGGACACAGGAGAGTAGAGGGTAGAATTAGGGATGGCAGGAACCCGGAAGCTCACCAGACTGCCTTTTGTTCTTTTGCCCCAGATGATTCTATCTCAAATCTGTTTCCCTTGAGCCACGAGTCTGTGTGTGTCTTTGTGTGTGTGTGTGCAGGAGGGGATGTCCTGTCTCTCTCATCAGACTAGGAAGTCCTGAAGAGTACTAAAGATACTGAAGCCTCCTACTCCACTCCCACCTCAAGTTCTTACCCCACCCTCAGGAATCATTTTCTGGAGCAGAGCCAAGAGAGAACACATAAATGAATAAGGGCTCAATAGGAAGCAAGGAGCGGTGGGAGTGAGGGAAGAGCTGGCAAGAAATTTCTAGAGAGGACAGAGGTAGAAGGAGTGGGGTTCCAAGGACAACTTAGTGGTGGCAAATGGTGCTAACAGATCAGCAGCTACCAGATACCTAAAAAGAACTGAGGGGCAAGCGAGATATGGAAGGAAGAGCAGAAGACATGGTTATCAGGGAATAGAGGAGAAGGTGGAAGGGTTAAGGAGGGAAGCTAGAGGCCAGGGCTTGGGTGGAGTCAGGGAGGGGATTGTCTATCCACTTAAGAGCAGGCTTCTGCATCCTAGAAAGAAGCAAAAAAGAGTGGGAGCCCCTTGGAGTTTGAGCCATGCTGAAGCCCAATCTTACCCCATTGTCCCTATAGTGATGGGGCCTCTGGGAGCAAAGGAAATTGGGAGAGATCAGTGAATTATGTAGAAATCATGACAGACAAACAGGTGGGCAGGTGGATAAGACCCCAAAAACTCACCTTCCCCACACAGGTAACATTCATGCTCTGGTTTGCTCCTGCGTAGAAGTTGATGACCTGGAGTGGTGAGGGTTAGAGAAAGGACTTGTTAGAGACATAAGTATCCAGCCTTCCAGCCACGATCTCAGCCCTCAATTGCCCCATCTCTCTTAGTCTCTCAGTCACTCAAACATTCAAAAATCCCTTTAACGCCCATGAGCCCCAGTGAAATGAAGCAACTGCCAGCAGATGGTGGCCCCAGCTCCCTCCTCCATTCTCCCTGGGGACCAAGGTCATAGGTACCCGGTTCATCTTGATGAAGACACAGGGCTGCCCTGTGCTGTAACCATAGTGTGTGGGGTCCCCGATGCCGGAGCAGTCGCCCAGCTGGGTCCGGTTGAACTGGCAGGCACGTTTCGGGTAGTTTAGGACTCCATTATCTGGCTGTTCATAATAGCGCCCAGGGCGGCAGACATCATTCTTTTGGGCTTGAATGGAGTCATTGTAAGCTAAGGAGGTGGGGAAGAGAGAGTACGAGCCTGATGTTCTGCTTCCAGTGTCCCCAATGCCCTGCCCGAGGTCCTGCATAAACCACATCACCAGCCCCACACTCACGCTCCAAGAACTTGTTGAGCTTCTGAACATGCTGGTCCCAACTTTCAGTGTCACTGACATTGACAATGACATCAAGGTTTTCAGTCTTGGGGCGAATCATCAAGCCTATAGCCAGACAAGGGCAGGAGTGGGGGGTGTATAAGATGAGGGACCACACACAGAAGGAAGAAGACAGACATAAGAAACACCACGGTGAGGGGTGGGGTGAAGGTCTGAGATCCTCTTCATGGGAGGAAGATCTCCACCACCTCCCCAGATCACATAGCTCTCAGCTGTGAGAAATGGGGAGGAAGGCAGACTTCAAGAACTTCCCAGCACATGGTGATGGGATCATCAGAACCACACCTCCAAGAATAACAGTTTTCTCAGTCTGAGTTCCTTTTGGAGGCTTGAAGGTACAAGAGCGGTTAGAGTGGTTGGTAGGGGAGCCTCATCACTCACCGGGTGTAGCCAGTCGGTCCTGGTACTTGGGGGTATGGTCAGAGACAGTTTGCAGCATCACCCACATGGTGAGGGTGAACATTGCCGTGAGAAAGCCATAGAAGACGAGGTAGAAGAGGAGGATAAAGGCTAGGAAGGAGAAAAAAGGGTCAGCAGGTTCCAAGTCCCCTGCCATGACCTCACTTCTCCCCACACGCCTTTCTCCCACTCAGAGGTTCTGCACTAGGATGGGTCACAGTGCCTCAGGAACGTCGCAGGGCCTTCCCCAGGGGGCAAAATGAGACAAGCTGGAAACAAGAAGTTGTGACTGGCATCCAGCCATGATTCCCAGCCCCCTCCTGGTCCTAGAGCACAGTGAAGCCTGACCTTGTGGAGGCCACAAGAGATCTAAACTCTCGTTGCTGGAACAACCCCAAGTATAGGCCACAGTTCTTTTGCCTCAAATTACATTTCCAACTTCTCAACTATTCATGGCCTTGAAAAAGTACATCTGTTACTACTGTATTGGTACTCATGTTTAGCTGTCCAGCACAATGACTTTTTAAGCTGGCACTGATCACCATTCACACCAAATTCTCATCCCATCCCTTAGAGCATGGACCCTCATATTCAAATAGCAAAATCTCTCTCCTGGTGCCCTGCAGAAGCAAAACTTTGAATGCAGCTCCTGCCTAGCTACAAAATCTCTCAGAGACAGCTGTCTAGAACCTTCAACAGTTACCCCACTCCCAGCTCATACACAGCACCCAGGGCTGACGTGGGAAGTAAGGGCAGAATCTCCTACAGCCTTCCTAGCAGAGGGCAGGTCCTTGGTGGATGTGACACATCACTCTGTCACTTATCAGACTAGTGTGAGTACCTGCTGTTTCCACCACTGGGGACCCCCAGTTCTTCCATCTCAGAAGACATTTCACCCATGAAGCCTCCTCAGATTCTCCCAAGTACTCATGGACCTCTCCAATCCCAGGAGCTGGACTTCAAGCTCCCTAAGGGCAAGGACTGCATCGGACCCACCTCAAGGGTCCCAGATGAGTGGGCTGATGGGGTCAGCATACAATCAGTGTGGAATAACTAAATTGTGTCACACAATGTCTCCTGTGCTTAGATTTCCCAGCTTGACAATCCCTTTTGAAAGAATTCCACGCATCACTTGCACCCATGGCCATCACCAGGCTCTCCACCAAGCACGACTCCCTCCACAAACCCTGAGTCCTGCCACCCCAATCCCAAACACACTGAGCTGGATGATGTATACATCTCACCACTAGTGACCACTCCTCCCTCCGCCTGCGACATCTGAGCCAAACATCCAGCCTCAAAAAACTCACAGTGCTACCCCTCTCCAACAGCCCCCCGATCCACAGAGCGGCCACAGACTGCTCCAAACGCTCGGCAGTGGGATACACACAACTTACTTCTGCTGTGAAGAACGCCCCTCCAACACACACACACACACACACACACACACACACGCACACACACACACCTCTCCAAGACCCGCCCCCTCAAGAGGGTTCCCAGGGTCCAGGGGGTGGGCACGAGCTAAAAATAGCCGGGCTTGGCTGGCTAGTGGGTTCAGAAGGGAGGGAAGGGGCTCTCTTCTGGGGAAGGGGGCGACCATGTGGAGCAGACCAGTCCCCCGAGAGCGAGCGCGGGCGCCGCGGCACCGATACGCGCGCAGAGCCCGCGACCCCCCTCATGAAGGGGCTCCGCGGGGGGCAGGAAGGCGGCAATGACCTACTTTCTCCGCCTCCGCAGCAGCCAGTAAGAGAGATTAGACCGGCTATTCGGTCCCCTCCCATCCCAGAGCACTGCAGGGAGGTCGAACGCTGAGGACCCGGGAAGAGAAGCTGGGGCTGCGCGGGCGGGACCTTGTGGCCCCCGGGCTTCGCCCAGCGAACCCCTACCCCCGCCCCTAGCGCGACCAGCCCCGCGTACCCCAGCTGGTCCCGGTGCGGCCCATGAATTGGTGCGTCCTCGGGTTCCACACGAACTCCTTCCACTCCTCAACCACCTGCCCGCAGCTCTTCTTCTCTTTCTGGATGACCATCTTGGCGGCGGGAGACGAGTCCCGCGCGGGGCGGAGAGCTCCGGAGAAGCTGGTGTGTGGCGCGCTGAAGCCCCCCCTTCCACGCACCGGAACGCGTTGGGAGCAAAGGCAGCAGGGGAGAGGGAGACCCCCTTTAGATATGCAGCTGCTGCAGATTCCGAGGTGCACCGCCACGCGCTGCGGGTTGCTAGCAGCGCGGCGTGGGATGCAACGATCCTAGGCCCCCCCAACTGCGATGAAAAGGGGTTTGTCAGAGCAGGGGAGGATAAAAAGGGGAAAGGGTGCGAATGCAGCTTCAGCCCCTTCAACCTCCTAGAAACAAAACGAAAAGGGAAGCAAAAATAGACGGCTGCAAAACCCGAGAGAAATACAGAAAAAATCGGGGTGCAAAGAGGGAGAGGTGGGGGAGGGGGCTGCCCCGAAATCCGAGATGCAAAGAGGCTGTGGAGAGGGGTCGGGTGACGGCTGAAGGCTCTTCCGCGAAGCGGAGACCTCCACACCAGTGGTGGCTCGGCTGCGGGTGTTGTGTGGAGACGCGCAGTTGGGGGACAGCCAGGGATGAGGGGTCCCCAAGCCGCAGACTCTGCTCCTCAGCAGTGCGGGGCCAGCGGTCGCGGCGCGCAGTCTTTATACTCAGAGGCTCTGAGGGTGCCCGCCCCCTTCCTACCCTCCAGAAGCCCCGCCTTCTCGCCGTTGGCCCGGGGGAATTCATACATATGCAAATATGGAGAGATGACTTGGGCCCGCCCCCTGCCGCCTCTTAGGGACTAGGAGGGTTCTCCTCTACCCCAACGCCAAGAACTGGACTGGATCTGTGTGGGTAGAGGGGATAGAGGGCGGGTCTGGGCAGAGAAGAGGAAAAGATAACCCAGAGAGACACAGAGACTGAGGGGGAAGCAGATACATGCTGAAATGGGGGCCCCAGTCAGGGAGCTAGAAAGAGATTAAGATCCAGGAGACAGGGCCGAATATGAAAGAAAGAAAAGGAGCCAGACACCAAGAAAAACAGAAGAGACTGGCTAGGGTGCTAGACAGACGGATGAAAGCTGGAACAGGCTGCGTAGAGATGGATAGAAGCTACCACAGAAGGGAAATTCCCCTTGTGGGAGCTGCTACCAGTCCTCCAATACCTGCTTTTCTAGTCCCACAGCCCCTTCTCCCACCACCTGTTTCTCTCCAAGCCTAGGGACTTCCTGGTCTTCCCACCACATTTCTCGGTGAAGCTCTCCCAACACCACATTCCCAGCCCCCACCATTGCCTGAGACACTAGCCCTGGAGCCAGGTGTGCCTAGGTGTTCTGCCTCCTCCTACCTCCATGTCTAAACTCCCCTCCTTATTTGCCCATTTGGGTCAACAAACTTAATTGAGTACCTACTAGAGACCTTGTGCAACTCTAACCCTAAAGAGACCCACAATCTAGTTGGGGAGTACAAGAGCCTCTAAAGATCTCATGTTCAGAACCATTATCTATCTCTTTTCATCTCCAAATCTTGTCACTTTTCCATGCAGAGTTTTTTTTTCTCCTTTCACTCCTCATCCTAAATCCTTGGCTTTAGTCCCAACAACTCCCACATTGAATATCACCCTCCCCCTCAAACTCTCTCCCTCCAGTCCAGGGCCAGCTTCATGGATTTGGGATCTGCTCAGTCAAAAAAGGCCTATGCTCAGAATGGCCTTGTGCTTGGTTTAGTGCTCTGCTGTCACCATCTTGAAATTCTTTATAATTTTATCTTTGAACTTGTGCTTTGTAAGTGAAGCCCAATGGGACAATGGAACATGTGTGTGAGCAGAGGAGATATGCACAATAGGCAATTTGTGATGCTCCATGAGCACAGAACTCTGGTGGACCCACCATGCACGAAGCTCAGCAAGACTCCAAGTGAGTACAAGGTAAGTGTACTTGAATAAGTGGAAGTGCTGACGCTGAGAAGCCAAACTTTCCATTCAAAGCAGAATTTGCTTTGAAATCCAAAAGAAGGCAATGGCTTTCTAGGAGACATGGACGATTGAGGCATCTTATCATACCCTTCTTCCTCAGTCGTTACTTCCCTGATTTAACCAACCACTCCTGCTGGCAATGATGCCATAGAAGGAAAGGGAAAGCTAGGGCAACCCATAATTCCTTTTTCTTTTTTCAGTCCTTCTGTACTCATCAATAAACTGAAGGTAGACAAATGTTAATTTTTTTTTATTTAGAACATTAAATAGCAAATAAAAAACGCCATGAGAAGCTGAGAAAAGAACTGGAAGAAAGGAAAACATCTTATATGTTATTACCTTGAATAGCACTTTTTTCCTGCTTTTTGAACAAGGGATCCCTCATTTTCATTTTGCAGTAGGTCCTGAAAATTATGCAGCTGGCCCTGCTTCAGACCCTTCTGTCACAGACTCTGGATTACTTTTCTCAAAATACAGTTTTAATTAGGCCACTCCTCAGCTCAAAGGTCTTCAGTGGCTTCTTGTTACCCTGCAGGATGGAGTCCTGATTCTTCAAGGTATTCCACAGTCTAGATCCAGCCTGTGTCCCCAGCCTTCTTTCCCACTAGGCCCCAACTAGTCCTCTGCTAGAGCTGAGCCGGCCACTCCTGGGACAGGCTGTCCTTACTCCTGACTTCACACCTTTGTCCATTTCATTTCCTCGTCCCGGAAGAGTGCCCACACTTCAGAGTCCACCCCCAACTCTCATTCATTTATTTAATGCATAGCTAATGAGCATTTGCTTAGAGCCAGGCGCTGTTTGGTGCCTGTGCTCCTGGGGCTCCCATCCCAATAAACAATAAAAACAAGCAAACAAATAAAATAATATTAATATTATGCAGAAAAATAAAACTGGGTGGTGTGCCAGAGAGTGCCTAGCTGGTCAGGAATGGCCTTACTGAGAAGATGACTTTTAATGTGAGACCTAAGTGACCCAAAGGAGCTGTGGGGAGATGTAGGGAGAATTTCTAGCTTTCCATGAGGAGAGGAGTGCAAGTGCAAAGGCTGGGCTTCAAAGAGGGAAGGCAAGCTTTATACAGCAAGAGATCCAAGAGGTAGGCAGGGACCAAGTCATACAGGTCCTTGTAGGCCAAAGACAGTAGTTTGGATTTTAATCCAACCATCACGGAAGTAACTCTCGTGTTAAAAATAGGGGAGTGACATGATTAAATTTAATGAAAATCACCATGGGAAGCGAGGAGACCAGTTAGGAATGCTTTGCAACAATCCAGGCAGAAGATATGGATGGCTTGGAGCAGGGTGGCAGGTTTGCAGATGGAGACAAGAGGATGGGTTGAGGATCTATTTTGGAAGTACAGTGACCTCAATAATGAGGGTGACAGAAAGAGAGGAATCAAGGCTGATGCTTAGGTTTTTGTCTTGAGAAACTGAGCTGAAAACTCTTGTGTATGTTTTATCTTTTCAATCAAACTGTAGGTTCTCTGAGAGCAGGCCTTTGTCTTAGACTTTGCATATATCCTCTATACCCAAGCATTCTACAGAGCTACCAAAGACAATGCCTGGTTGCTGCATTGGGCTTAAACATGGAATGACTCCTGCAAGAAACCTCAGGAAAACTACTGTCCTATCCTTCACCAGACAAGGAGAATCAAAATGGGACAGCCTTGGTCTGGAGAGATGAGACCAGGACCCTACTTTCAACACACATAGTTTGACTAACACAAATCTGGAGATGGGTCCAGACTGCTGGCTCAGTCTCTACCCTAGTCCCAGGCTCACTTGGGGAAGAATGATTGAATGTCTTCTGTGCATTTAGGGGGTTCTAGGATAAGGGTGAGATACCTGCTGCTCCTGTCTATGACTTCTTTTGTAGGTGAGGATCAGCATGAGGAGGGTGGGGGTGAAGAAGAAGGAAGCACTCTACTAAATGCTCCACTGATGTTCACAGGGGTAAAAGCTGAGAACAGGGTGGGAGGGCAAAGAGTCATTACAAACCTCCAGCCTCTTCCTGGAACCCAGCCCTGCCTCCAGTACCTCCGGAAAGGAGGAAGAGAATAAGAGCTCCCACACTGCCTTTCCCATTTCCAGAGCCAGTCATGAAGTCTGTGCCCCTTGATCCTTCTCCCCCCAAAATCCACACAATCCCAGGGACTTGACTGTCTCGGTTCCCAACAATATGGGTCTTTGCAGAGACAAGAACAAGGAAAGAAAAGTGTTCTGAAACACAGATATAGGGGGTGGGGAAATGGGGGCTATTATCTAATGGGTGCGGAGTTTCAGGTTTTCCAAATGAAGAGTTCTGGAAGTGGATGGTGGTGATGGCTGTACAACACTGTGAATATGCTTAACGCCACTGAAATATACAGTTAAAAATGGTTAAGATGGTAAATTTTATGTTATGTGTGTTTTACTACAATGTAGGAAAATAAATAAAAGGGAAGGAAAAACAGATGTTTCTCTGCTGACCACATCAAGCTCCAGCTCCTCAGCAGGACATACAAGGCCTCTGACCAAGTAGCCCAGGGAGTGTCCCCAGTCTGCTCTCCTTCCATCTCAGCCTGCCCCTGGTTCAGTCACACCACACACCCTTCTTCATCTTTTATGAGCCTACAGGCTCAGACTTATTTTTCAAGAAATATACATGAGGTTAATGATATCAGCAAGAGCAAAATCTCTCATATATTGAGCACTTTCTCTATGCCAAGAACTGTGGTAGGCATCTGGTAATACATGGTAGCATTAAATCCTCACAGCAAGCCTACGAGTAGGGTAACTTTCTCATTTTGCAGATGGGGAAACTGAAATTTAAGGAGTTTTAGTCAATTGTTCAAGTTCACACTTCCAAAAACTTACCTTTTTGATGATCCTTGCTAGAATTTGCAACGAGGTTCCCTGGCACTTCTTAAAGATTTCTATTAAAGCATTTTACGTGTCTTATCTGTCTCCCAAGACCCTGGTTCTCCAGGGCTAGGACCTAGTTGTATTCATCTTTGGAGTCCCTGTGGACTACCTAACACAGTGTTTGGCATACTGTCAGCAGCCAATAAACATTAGTGGAAAAACAGAAAGAGAGGAGAGGGAGAGAGAGGGCGGGGGGAGAAGGAACTGGGTGAAAAGAGGGAGAGAATGAGAGGAAAGAGAGGCACCTGAGAGGATGCAGTGAGTGGGTAGACCAGGCCTGGAGACTGCAGGATATGCTGCCAAACTCCGGAAAGGTTTTTAGGGGTGTGGGAGAGGCAGAGGACATTGGGTAGGCATTGTAGGTGCCCTTGGTAGGGGCCTGGCAGAGTTTGTGTCAAAGCAAAGTCACTCTTAATGAAAGAGTGAAGACAGCTCTGGTTGGTAATCAGGAATCTTGGAATCTAGGGCAGGCTGGAGAAAGAGAGGTTGGGGGCATGGTGTCCTGGACAGGGTGGGGTGGAGGGAGGAGAGAAATGCCAGTCCCTGGGATATTCCTCAAGGACAGAGAGTCAGGAAGTTGCCTCTTGGAACAATTCTCTTGGTGGGGACTCAGGTGTGCCCAGCCCGTTTAACTTCTTTATCCACTGGCTCACTCTGGAGGCCCCCATGAGACTGGTTTCTTTTCATTATTCAGGTCTTTGCTCAAGTGACACTGCCTCAGAGAGGTCTTCCTTAACCACCCAGCTAGTGTTGCTTCCTCCCCTCACACTATCCT